CAAAGAGTAAGTACTGCCAGAGTCTGAGGCTCTGGAAGAGCCAGTTCAAACTGTCCTCAAGAGGCCACTGTCTGAAAACATCCCTTTCCCAGCTTGACATTCTAGTGCCAGGTTTGCCTTTCCATGGCACACGCGTGCACCACACATGCTTAATCCACACACTTACAGATGGAATGAATGTATTTTGACAAGAATTTCCCTTCCCCAGGAGTTGAGGAGCCAGAAGCAGAAGATTGTCTCAGAGAGGGAGCGGCTCCAGGCAGAACTGGACCACTTACGGAAGTGCCTTGCCTTGCCCACCATGCACTGGCCCAGGGGCTGCTTTAAGGGATACCCGAGGTGACGGTTTCCCTTGCACTAGGCTGAACCTATAGTATAGAAATATTATCTATTTTATTACCTTGAATATTTAATATTTTTCACTGGGAGGTTTGAAGCTTAAAAAATGAGAATGTGCCATGCATGAAGCAAAGGGTTCCAGGCTCCAGACGAAAATGAACGCACTCACCTTGACTTCAATGCAGTCGGATCACCTCTTGTACTCAGCGAGCAACCACTGTAGGACGCCCATGGTTTTTCTTTCCAAAGGTGGTTTTACTCCTCCTTCCCCATCATTCTTTTTTTAATCTGGAAATGAAGGCTCCATTACCAACACTAAAACGATACTGTTTATTGCCCCCGGTGCACGGGATTGGATCAGACCCGGCTGGTTGTTCCTCGTGGTGCCGTGTTACTGTGCTGCAAGAACCAGGCTTGCTCTTGCTGTGGCTCTGGAGTTGGCCCCGTTCCTACAAGGAGTGGGACTTGCTTCAGCTGAAGAGAAGGCTGGGTGCAACCTCAGTAAAGGGCTTATTTGTTTTACTTTTCTGCAAAATTATCTTCAAAGCAACAGGTCCTAGGAGCACACAGAGCAATCCAAGGCTTCTGCCTGGAAATGCTCTCACCTAAAGATAAACAGACCCACGACTGAAGGTACCTTTCTATTACTCCATGGGGGAGAATGTACAGAGCTCTATGTATACATATATTCACACCCACTAAATTGTTACTGCAGTGGGTGGTGTTTTCATACAAACGTAAATTTTGAGAGAAAAGTCAAAGGTGCTTCAGCCTTGTACTGTGTATATATATTAAAAAAAAGTTTTGTATGTTTTTATTACTTTAATTATTGTTATAAAAAGCCTGCCATTTTTAATATGTGGTTTGGGGGATTTTGTTTGTTTTTCCTGTTTGGGGGTTTTGTTTGTTTTGTTTTTTCTGGGCAAAAAAAAAAAAAAACAACTTGCTTTTAGTGTTTGTACTGCTGCTGGTCAGGACATTAAAATATTGAAGTGTTTTTAAAAATTAAAGAAGAAGAAAAGTAAAAGAGCTTACCACTGGCGCCTATGCGATCACTTCATTTTTGAGTTGCACCAGAAACCAATGTAGAAAGCCATGCGTTACACCCCCACACACACCCTCCGGCACTGGGCGAGGCAACAGCAGGCAGAGCAAACAGAACCCGCTGTTGGCAAGTGAGGAGGGGAGTCGGGGAGCAAGACAGCCGGGGTGGGTCAGCCACACGCACGCACAGGTCTTCCCAGGAGCACCTTGCAGGAAGTGAACACTCTGCCCTAGCGTTCCAACACACACACCAGACAGCAGGTGGAAAGTAGAGATCTCAGAGGCTTTATCTAGATGCAAAGCTTTGTGGAAGCCTGAAGTAGGGTCAACAGTGTCTGAGCTGAACTCCTTTTGAACTTACCAGGACAGGAACAGCGGGAAACCTGGCAGATCCCAACCCCACAAAGCAATGGGGTGCCACCCAGTCCTGGCTGCTGTTCCTTCAAGTACCTCTTGCAGGAGAGGGCCCTAACCAGAGCCTAGCTGTCCTGGGGGTGGACAGGGCAGGACACCTGGCCTGGTCACTTGGTGCTGCTCTTATGAGCACTGTTGGGCAGAGCAGCTTGTTAGTGGCTGCTGTCATGCCTGTTTGTATGCCTGCCAAGAACCTTCCAGTTATTAGCACACTCGGACAATAAGTGCCAGCAGTATTGCCAGTTGTCAGGCACCTTCCTCCCCGCAAAATCCACTACAAGACAGTAAGGGAGCCACATGGTCCACAGGTGTGCAGAGGGAGCTACACAGCCAGCAGTCAGGGCAAACTGCCACTGAATTTCTCTGCTTAAAATCTGCTTGCCATGTCAGGTGTCTGGGTGCTTCTGCCAGTCAACCTTGGTAATGGCATTGACTAAAGTAAAAGGGAAAAGTAGATCTAATTACTTAATGGAAATGCACAGCCCCACCCTGCACCTGAGAGGCGCTCCCTAGGTTGGACACTGGGGGGGCAGTTCATGGCATGTAGAGCAGAGGATAGATACCTGAGCAGAGTTCTGCTGGTGCGAGCCAAGGTGCTGAGCTAGCAATATGGCCTGGCCCGCCTGCTCTCGTGCTCTGCCTCCCTGTTCTCCCGCTCGTGGAGACCTCTGAAGATTCTTGTGCTCAAGAAGTAATGTGACAATCACGACCCAAGTACAAACCAGACAGTGTGCACAGACAAAGGCAAGGTAAGAAAGCAGCTCACAAAGGACGGCACACCACCCAGGCCGCGGTGGTCCTCCCACCCCGCACTTGGCCCTCTGCTCTTGAAAACACCCATTGTCGGATGATTCCGGGTGGACACAGCACATGTCTGTCCTCACCTGGGCTAACAAAAACATGCAAACTGAAGGGTCTTCTATTCAGCCCTCTTCATGTTTTTAAAAAAGTTGAGCAGTACATCAGATCTGCTCTAGAACTGATGATGTAACCTGTGTGTCAGTATTTATGTGAATACCTCAGTCCTCCTCAGTTCCGTGTCTGCCATATCACCTGGAAGAGACAGCCGCCATCTGTCCTGATGGGGAATTCACTAAACGCAAGGGACACCCTCTGATGCTAGGTCATGTAGTTCCACCTTTAACCAGATATTTAAAATGAGTTGTTTCATATAATCAGAGCCAAACTAACAAAACAGCCCCCAATCCATTCCTCTCAGATAACATGACCACAAAGACAGGATTCCACATCTTCAGTTCTAATCTTAATTGGTACTATCATCATCCTAGCTTGTATTCCTAAGGATACTGAGTCTCAAAAGGAGCCAACACCTTTAGCAGCAAGGAAATGAAACAAGAAATGTTAAGTTTGTAACAGAATTTTCCCTCAAAGTAGCTCACAATACTGCCAAATTTCAAAAAGCAAGCTAAATTTCAGACCAGAACAGATCTGCCCCTTCCCTCTGAGCCACGTAAAGTGTAGACAATTCCCAAGATCCACCAGGAGATGGAGATGTTTAGCAGATTCTGTTCCTTTCCTACAGTGCATTAGCCCCTTGACTAGGATCTCGACTCTGCCTGTTAACCATGCTTTGACTTCAGGTCACTACTTGCAGTAGCCTGTCCCCAGCTTTTTGATCCAGCGCTTGATTGCTAGACTCTGCCTTGACCTGAGGAAGACATGCTCGCTGGTTGTGTCACTTGTATATGCCCTGTGCTTCACTGCTAGGACAGCAAACCCAGACTCAGGCGGGAGGGAGGACAACAGTGCCTCGGTCACCCTGGGGGCAGTTTAGATGCTGTGAAACTAAACCTGTTCTAAGTGTACTTGTTTGAATTAACTGTATTGTAATATTATTTGTTGAATGTAGTAATTAGGTATTTATGAATATATTGCTGTAATTTCTGACAACATCCAAAAAATAAAATCTTCCTAAATCATGTTAAGAGAAATCTTTTATAAGATAACCCCCAACCCCAGGGTGGGGGGCAACCACCAACTCCACATTGTTTCACAGGTCAGACCTGAAGATCCTCAGCTGCACCTCAGTTGGCTCGGGTTTTCAAGCAGGGTGGTAGGTGTGAGATGGAGGCGCACAAGCCCCTGAGCTCCGCAGTAACAAGTGGTTTCATTCTAAGGTTCCCTGATGACCTCTAAAGGAGAAATCGAATGTCTGAACAGCACCTTTAATCAGATTCGCCATCTTCTGTCCTAGTCCTCTGGGTCTGTCTGGCCCAGTGTTCACATGATAGCCAGCATCTGCTCAGGAGCCATCTCGGCTCTGGACCAGATCAGCAGTGCTCAAGTAGCAAACCCAGAAAGGCAGATGGCGAGCAGTACGCTAGGACCAGGTAGCCACACCACAACTCTGGACTCCCTGGGTGCCAAGTCAAAACCAGCTGGTGACTGAACATACTTACTATATGGTGCAGGATGACGTATCCCCTTCCAAGGTAAGGAAATTTCTGTTAAGGGGCCCAACAATCCCAAAATGCTGCAGTTCAAAAACTGAAGTGGTTTTCTCTTAGGAAGAAGATAATCAATCTCCTGAGCCACTGCTGTCTTCAACCAAGAGCCCTCTCCCTGACCCATCAAGAGCAGCAGGAGAGCTCCTTTCCCTCCCAGCAGTCTTCAGTCTCACTTAATGCATTGGGACAGGTTTTTCCCCAAACGTCCAGAACGCTGGTCTGAAGTTCCCAGTCAACTGCCTCACACCTATCAGTATCAGATCATCTTGGCCACAGGACAAGAACCCAGCAAAGTCAGATTCTGGCTGACGGTGTTTTTATTATAAATTGTAGCTTAGAAGACAAACACTGGCCAGCGTTGCCAGTCACCCACACCATCATCCTCCGTGAACAACCTCTAGGAGATCTAAATTTAGTTCAAGAAATGGGGATCAAGAGGGAAAACACCCCCAGCCTCATCGCCACTCCTATATCTACACCAGTCACTGAACACAACCATGGGTGACAGTTTCATGCAGAAAATCCAAGGCTCTGGCAACAGGGAGGACTTGGTTGCCTAATACTTTTTTCTTTTCCCCTCAAAAGAAAAACTGGTTTCTAAAACTAGTTGGGGATTGATTGAATGTTCAAGGAAGTTTTGTTTTTGGTACTGGGGATTGAACCCAAGGGTGCTTTACCACTGAGCTACAGTCCTTTTTATTTTTGATTTTGAGACAGGGTCTCACCAAATTGCTCAGGGCCTCACTAAATTGATGAGGCTGGCCTGGAATTTACAATTTGCCTGCCTCAGCCTCCCAAGTTGCTGGAATCGCAGACATGCACCGCCATGCCCAGCTCAGGGGTGTTCAGTTTTGAGAACTAATCACAAATTTGCTTCTCACCAATGTTACAGATCCAGTCTCGGCACCTGTTCAAGCATTGTTCATACATTTAAAAATGTTTCCAGAACTCCAGATACACAAGTACCTCCATCATGTCACCAGCCTCCACCCAGCAGTTTGCTGCCAGACAGGATAAATCTTGCCAACCACAGGCCTTCCTCTAAAAGTCCTGAGATGGGGCACTCTCAGAAGGCTGGAGGTTTGTACGGAGCTTGTGCATATGATGGAGTGCTTGGGTGAGAAAGGCCCCGCTGGTATTGATCTCCATCAAAGTCAAGTTATCCAGCTGCAACAAGAGAAAACAGACCCAGTTGGCCAAGGAGTTTTGATTTTGAATAAAAGCTAAAATACTAAGAACAAACCAATGGGGTTTTTTTGTTTGGTTTTTGTGGTGCTGGAAATCAAACCCAGGGCATCAGCTAATTGTACATAGTGAAGAGATTCTCTAGTAGCTTCTTTTAGATACCAGGGCGGAACAGGCAAGTGCCCTATCACTGAGCACCCCCAGCATGGCTAGTAATCTCCTATCTTGCAACAGCCTGAGCAAGTAGGACACTGGGTTGAGCTTCTCCAGGGGCATAAAAAAAAAACTCTGGGGCAGAGCCCACCAGCTCCAGGGGGAAGATAGCAAAGGGAAGCAGGACCTACCTTGGCATGTTCCTCCTGCTGCCGCACAAAGCTATCAGCAGACACCCGGAGCTTGGCTATGCGCGTGTCCCACAGATCCTTGATCAGGGTGCGGATCGCATCTGCTTTGGGGATATCCTCTGAAGCACTAAAGGAGGCAAGGGATGAAGTTAGCAAGCACCTGCCAGACTGACCAAAACAAAACCCCACAACGCAACCTCAAATACAGCTTAGATTCTGGAGGGTATTCCAACTATTCCTGATGCAGAAAATCTGTTTTGTTTCGTCACCATTATTAACATGTAAGGACTTAACGAGTAAGTATGGTACCAAGGACATTCAGCTACTGAACTGGTTCTCTTTAATATTTATTTTTTAGTTGTAGTTGGACACAATACCTTTATTTTATTTATTTTTATGTGGTGCTGAGGATCGAACCTAGGGCCTCACATATGCTAGCCAAGGGCTCCACCACTGAGCCACAACCCCAGCCCCTTGTTTGTATTTTGTATAGATGATTGAACCCAGGTGTGCTTTACCACTGAACTACATACAACTCCACCAGTTTTGAAAAGCTCTCAATAAGTTGCTGAGGCTGGCCTTGAACCTACCATCCTCCTGCCTCAGCCAAGTGTCCATGGCCAGCTGTTGCCAGGATTAACTGGCTCCAAGTCAGACAGTCTATGCCACAAGACAACAGTGCTTTGTGCCGCGTAACTTCCAGCTAGAATTGGTTCCAAGGGCTCCTTATGTATAGTGGTGAGCAGATCACTACCCCCCCCCCCCCCCGCCCCGAGTAATCCAGGCTCACTACCGATCAGGGAAGGAAACCACTAGCTCTGTGTTCAGCACCTTGCACAGCACTCCTGTCCTCTTGAAAGCCCCGCAGAGGAGGGACTGTCCTACTCTGTAGTTAAATCAGAAGTTACAAAAATCACTTAAGTGGCAAATTAGCGTAAGCATTGTACTGTAACCACATGCAGTGAGACTGGGTAGAAGTCAGTCCAGCGAAGGCAATAACAGCTTTCCTTTGTAGAACATTCTCTAGACCAATCTTCAAAGACAGACCAGAAAATAAAAGGTGAAGCAAATATTTCCCGTCACTAGGCACTCTAGGATAAGCTAGAGTGTCTACATGATACAGTTAGCTCAGCACTGGTGGGCGGCAGATCCACAGTATGAAATCTATGCTGTGAAATTTTATTTATGAGCCCAAACATTCAGATCTTATGCTCTGAACAGCAGGTTAAATAACAAAGGACTCTAGGTTCTTGTCAACTGAACTGCAGAACAAAGGTAAAATTCAGTCCCTTAGCCAATGAATTACAGAATAAGGTTTTTGATAAAAACACATACAATATAAGGAACTTCAAAAACTAAAAATAGGGGCTGTGTTGTGGTAGAGAGCTTCCCTAGCACATAGAGTTCAGTGAGGCACTGGGTTCAATCCTCAGCACTGCATATAAATAGATAAATAAATAAATAAAATACAGGTATTGTGTCCATCTACAATTAAAAAAAAAAAATGAATAAGCCCTTCACCTGGATAATACTAACTCATACCTAGTATGTGCCTCCATATTCTCTCCTTCCAGCCATTGCTCCCACCCCCAAGCCAGTCTCTCTTGAAACCTCCTCCCCAGGACGCCCCCCACCCCCAGGAGTTCTCCATCAACACAGAATCGTGCTTCCATCCCCGCCCCTGTTCGCATTCACACTCTACACAGATGCCTCTGCTCCCTGAGGCCCCTTCATGCTGCCTTTCACAGCTCCTACCTCATGGCCTCTCCCTCCACCAGCCCTAGGAAGTTCCCTTGCTGGAGCCTGAGCTTCCCGGAGGCTTCTCTGAGCCCTCATACAGCATTGACCATGCTGTGATCTAACTAGTGGTTCACGGGTTCACACACCTCCCCCACCAACCCAGGAAGAGGCCCACATAATCATCTCCAAGCCTAGTGCAACGCCTGGCACCTTGCTATTCCTCAGAATCTAACCAAGGAATGGTATCGACCTAAAGACAAGTTCTTCTTTAAATTCAGCAGACAGTGCCCTTCAGTAGATGAATGGATAAAGAAATTGTGGTGTATATATATATATATATATACACACACACACACACACACACACACACACACACACACACACACATACACACACAGAGGAATATTACTCAGCATTAAAAGAGAATAAAATCATAGCATATGCAGGTAAATGGATGGAGTTGGAAAATACTATGCTAAGTGAAGTAAGTCAATCCCAAAACAACAAATGCCAAATGTTTTCTCTGATATGAGGATGTTGATCCATAATAGGAATAGGGTTGGGGAGCATGAGAGGAATGGAGGAACTTTAGATAGGGCAAAGGGGAGGGAGAGGAAGGGATGGAGTAGGGGGTAGGAAAGACGATGGAATGAGATGGACATCATTACCCCAAGTACCTGTATGAAGATACAAGTGGTGTAACTCTACTTTGTGTACAACCAGAGACATGAAAAATTGTGTTCTACACGTGTACTATGAATGGAAATGCATTCTGTTTTCATATATAACAAATTAGAATAAATTTTAAAAAACAAGTTCAGCAGGCAGTCAGTAGTAGTGGTAGCACAGACCAGTTTGTAGTTCTACTTCTGCACTTGAATTCATCAACCAAAACATGCTTAGTAAGGAGTTTCAAGAGCTTAACCTTCTGCACGTTATGCTCCCAGGAAAAACCAACCACACTTGCCTTCCCTTTGCTGATTTCATTCATTCGACAAACATGCACACCAGGCACCATGCTGGGGACACAGCATTTAAGTCAGTGCCTGGCCATTTAGAACAGGTATGTGGGGGTGGGAATGTAATGGCACAGCCAAATGATTAGAAAACTGCAGCTACGGCCAACACTGGCAGAGTGCAGAACTGCCAAGAGAGCAGGCACACTTAATCTGGCAGGGACACTTATTGTACTGAACCACAGGCAACATGGGCAAGGGAATGGGCAGGCTTCCTGGTCAGTGTACGCAAAGTCACGAGGACCCAGTGTGTTAGAAGAGGCCAAGCCAGAGGATCGCTTGAGACCAGGAGTTCAGGGCAACATAGTAAGACCCCATCTCAAAAAAATAAATAAAAGTACTGCAGAAGAGACCAACGTGAACCTAAAACTTACAGTGGCAGAGGAAAGAACCGCAGACAGCTGTGAAGGAGGGAAGGGGAAGCTCACACCAGGCCGTGCACTGCTTTAAATGCTGCAGTCAGGGCTCTGGACTGAAACCCTGGAAAGCTGGTTATGGCGGCACATGCCTGTAACCCCAGTTACTTGGGAGGCTGAGGCAAAAGGATTGCAAATTTGAAGCCAGTTTAGGCAACTTAGCAAGACCCTGTTTCAAAATAAAGAGTGGGGATGTAGCTCAGTGTAGAGCGCCATGGGTTCAACCCCAGCACCACAAAACAAAACAGAAATACAATAAAATTCTGGAAAGGCACCAAGGATTTTGAAGAGAAGAGTCACATGGCAGTTTTATCTTTAAAGGATCACTTCGGCTGCCACATGAACAAATTAGAAGTCCCCAGGGAGCTTGTGTGGAGGTAGGCAATAAAGCATATTTTTACCATGAGTGGTTTCCCTGTAGCTTAGGACAAAGCCAGATGTGAGCCCTCTGGCCTCTCCTGCGAAAATCACAAAGAACCTGGATCCGCATACTCCAGACAGAATAAAGAGGGGTATCACTGCACTAAGTAAACTACATGTAGTTCAGAAAAAGGCTTCTGCTGGAGATGACAGTGGCTCACAGTGGGGTCCAATGTCAAGCAACAGGAGGTAGAATGAAAGGCCCAAGAGATTTCCTGGGGGTAGGGAAAATGAGAGACAGAGACCCCACAATCCTACACAGAGATGTCCTCCGGATTACCAACCCAGCGCTTTCTGTGGTAATAAAAGAAAGGGAGAGTGGGGTTAGAGGAAGAACAAGGGGTCCACCCAGGCAGGGGCCGTCCCAGGGAGAGCTACTCACTGATTGAGCAGGAGTTTGGTGAGTTCCATGTAGTAAGGGCTGGGCACAGGGGTAAAAGTTTCCTCTTTTCGCTCATGATCCCTCATCTTCTCCAACTTTTCTGAAATGGAGATGTCAACACATGTCACCGTCACTATAGCCAAGGTTCATTTCAATTTCCAAACTTCCCAAGTACTGACATTACTACCTATTTGATCAAGTAGCAAATTCCTAAGGAAAACTTTCTGGAATGATATTTGTATCAAGGCCTTCTCCTTGGAAGAAATTCTCTCAGGAAGGCTTTTGTTGTCATCCTTTTGGCTTAAAGAATATGTCCAAACTGGAAGTTCTTTTTATAGGGAAAGAACTATTTTACCTTTGATGTAATAAGTGATCACAGATTTAAGAGATCTATGTATACCAAGTCTGGTTCATAAGAGGGCAAGCAACTTGTAAACTACAGTATGATATAAACTACAACTTATAAATTTTGCTGACAGTATGATATTCTAGGGGGCTTAAAGGCACTCCAGCCTGGAGCAAGGGGTTATGATATGCTAGAGAGGCTTAAAGGTACCCAATAAGGCAGTGGGCACAATGTCCAACAGGGGCTTAAAGCCCAGCATCTAGAACCCACCACCATGCTTGATCTCACCCGGCATTAGCACTACCCTCAGACATTTCCACTACTTCCTTGGCCTTCCCTTTCCTACGGGCCTAAGAAGCCCAGTCCTGGCTACAGGGACAAGGCGAAGAAGCTTACACATCCCTGTCCTTTGGGGGTCCTGGTGCACTTGCCCTCTCTCCCTACAGCCAGCTCCTTGCAACTCTCACTGGACACCTTGCCAACTAGGCCTGTACCCCACTCCCCAGCCTCCTTGCTGTGTCCTCTCTGCAGGGCTAGCCTTCCAGGTGTACCCTGGTCCTCTCACTGCATAAGAACTCTATGTACGCTGTTCTCGAGGATTGTCTTCTCCCTCCCTGCTTGATCATCCCAAATGATCAAGTCACAAGAGAAAACCTCCCCTGACCCAAATCCTTCTCCATCTATCAATTCATTTCAGCACCAAGCTTCCAGCTGTCTGCCCCTCTCTTTAGTGTTCCCCCGTTCACTTCTTGCCCCTCCACCTCCACTCAGCCAAACTCAACGCTACTTCTCAGTGTCTGCACCTGATCGGTCAGTCCTCCTCCTCTAGTGTTGACCATGTAGCTTCTGGACACCACTCTCCCTGAGCTTTTGGCCTCACTAGCCAGTCCTTCTCACTTCTCTTGCCTCTTGACCCCTCAACACTAGGGTACAAAGCTCAGTTCCTAACTCCACTCCACCTCCTAAACTCACATCCAGATGATCTCATTCTGCCCCCATTCGATACCATCTGTGCCATTTAACTTCCACCTGGGCATCTACATACATCTCCAATGTAACCAGTTCAAACCTCAGTTCCTGGTGCCCACAGACCTCTCAAACGTGCTCCCCACCTCAGGAAACTCCACCTTCTCCTCCAACTCCAGCCCACAGCCTGGGGGCTCTCTCATCCCAACAGTCAGTCCTTCACCAAATCCTGTTGCTTATTCCTTCAGAACACACCAACCATAGCCCCGCCTCCCCCATTGGCCCTGGCAGGGATCATCCCCTACTCCCCGCTCACACAGTGGAGTGGTTATTTTTCACTTTCCCCCCATACCTAGGGATCAAACCCCAGGCCTCATGCATGCAAAGCTGTTTTTTTCCCTTCTTTTTCTTTTCCATCTGAATCAGATTATGAGGGGCTGAGGACATAGCTCAGTTGGCAGAGTGCTTGCCTCACATGAACAACACCCTGGGCTCGATCCCCAGCACCACCAAAAAAAAAAACGAAAGAAAGAAAGAAAAAAAAAAAAAAGAAAAGAACAGATTATGAGATCTCTCTGCTCAAACTCTCCAACAAATCAAAAAGACCGACAATACCAAACTTCTGGCTAGGGCATGGAACAATAGGAACATTCCTGGAAGGAATAATGGCTCAACCACTCCAGAGAACAGCTGGCTGTTTCTTACAAACTCAAGCCTCATCCGTACTATGACCCAGCAAGTCCACCACTCCCAAGCATTTATTTGCCCAAGAAAAATAAAAACATATAATCAGAAGAAGACTTGGGCAAGAACATTCATAGCAGCTTTATTCAGAATAAAGCCAAGAAACCATTCAAACGCCCACCAGTAGAATAGGTGAGCACACAGCCTGCCCAGACAAGGAGCCACACTCAAGAATGAAACTGATGCACAACGCAGGCAGCGACAGAGGCGAGCCACAGAAACACCCAGGAATACAAGAAGCCAGAGACAAGATGAGATCCTGGAGGATTCCATATATGGGAGACCCCAGAACAGGCAGGAGAATCCCTAGCACAGCCAGGAGGCCGCGGCTCTCAGAGGGGCTGACTGGCTGGAGATACAGCTTCTCACCACAGTGCAGCCTGCTGTGTGAAAGCTCACACACTCTCTCCACACCTTCACTGTGGTCCTGCACCTGGGGTCACAACAGGTCCAAGCCCCCAGAGGCTGATCGTGAACTAGGAGCCTAGACAGGTCCCTACTGGAGTCAGGCCTGCAGGGGCTCCCACCAGAGGCCCTCAGAGTAGAGGGACTAGGGATCCCCACTGCCAGAGCCACTCGCCCCTTTAGACAAGGAGCAAGGCAGACGCCCAAGCAGACTTCCCCAAACTAAGTCGATGTGGCTGGCTGAAGGAGTCCTTGCCTGCAGGAGGCAGGTAACCCCAGGTACCCCAGGGGGAGGGGAGAGTCAGAATCACTCAGGGCTCTTCACTGTAGAAACATGCCTGCCACACCCCTCCCCAGCAAAAACAGTGAGGACGTTTTTCTACTTGAAGCATCTGCTCACATCTGATATAGGGAGATCACGAGTGCTCAGGACCGTCTGCAAATGTGATGTGCCCTCACTTCTGTTTGGAGCACCAAGATGGAGCCCGGGGCCTTGGCCATGTCAAGCAAGTGCTGTATACTGAGCTACAGCCCAGTCCTTTTTATTATGTTGGGACATGGTCTTGCTAAATTGCCCTGATGGCCTTGAACTTGTGATCTTCCTGCCTCAGCTTCCTGACTGGAATTACAAGCACACCAGGCTCTTTGATTTCTTTTTGGTACTGGGGATGGAATCCAGGGTGCTTAACCACTGAGCTCTTTCCCCCAGCCTTGAGACAGGGTCTCACTGAGTTGCCGAGGCTGGCTTTGAACTTGAGATCCTCCTGCCTCAGCCTCCCAAGGTACTGGGATTACAGGTGTGCACCCCAAGGTGGTGTGGCCTCTTGGCTTTTCCTAACATCTTTATCGAAGCATAATTAACACCCCCACACAATTCACTCGCTTGTAAGTGTATAAAGCAGTGGGTTTTAGCATATCCGGAGCCAGGCAACCGCTACTTCAGTCAAGTTTGGAACTTTTTCATAATCCCAAAAAGGAATCCCATCACCTCCCAAACCCAGGCGGGCAGCACTCTGTGCCTAGGGATCTGGGTATCCGCACGGGTCACATCGGTGGAGCCACCCTGTGTCCCCGCAGCTAGCCTGGGGAGGCTGAGGCAGGAGGATGGCGGGTTCCGAGCCAGCCTCTGCAACAGCGAGGCGCCGAGCGGCTCAGCGAGACCCCGTCTCTAAATACAAAATAGGGCCGGGGTGCGGCTGGGGGGCCGAGCTCAATCCCTGGTACCCCGCGCCCCCAAAGAAGGAGTGGTCTCTGCCTGGCGCCCAGGGCACGGGGCTTGGGTGGCAGCACGTGAGTCCTCCGGCTGCGCCACACCCACGGTGCGGCGACCGTCACCCCCACGCCACGTCGGTTCCATCAGGAAGGCCGCCCCCAGCCTGCAGCCCGAGGCGGCCCTCCAGGGCGTCCACCCCTCCGCCGGGGCCTTACCTACGTCCATCCACTCGGCGGGCAGCAGCCGGCACTTCTGCCTCTGCTTCAGGTTCACCGCCAGCCACAGGGGCACGGCCACCGGCAGGCCAGGGCTGAACGGGCCCAGGTCCCCCTGCAAGGCAACGGCCGTGAGTGCGCGCCGCAGGACTGGGCCCGCCGAGTCCGCCGCCCCGCCCCGCCCCGCGCCCGCCCGAGGCCTCACCCCGATGAGATAGATCTTGTCCAGGCTGAAGTTGGGGATGATGGTAACCAGCTCCTTCTCGGCCAGAAACTCCACTTCCGCAGCGTCCATGCCAGCGGCCGCCCGGCACTCGCAGCTTCCTCAGGCAGCTCGGCTTCTCGAACCCGGAGACGCCGGCGCCGCTTTCCCGCCACAGCGCAGTCCCGCCCCCACCGGAAGACGGATTAAGACAGCCAATAGGAGTGAGCGAGGCTGAGCCGCAGCCAATGGAAGTGAGGGAGGTTGCGTGCCGCCCCGCCCCCCCCACGCCCCCTCGCCCTCTTCGCGTCTCTCCCCGGCTCCCGCCCCCCCCCCCCCCCCCCCGCCCCTCGCCCGTCACCGCTCCCCTGCACGCCCCCTGGCCCTTCCACTCCCCTCCCCGAGTCCTTCCACGCCCCCCCACCTTGCGGGTCCCTCCATGCTATCTCTACCTCTTGCCCCGCGCCCCTCTGGTGCTGTGCACCTGGTACTTTGGGGTCGTCCTGCAGCTGGCGCCAGTTTCGTGTCCCTGCGCCTGCCCCAGGCGCCTACCTGCCCACACTTTGAGTGTACTGGAGACGGCATCTGCACTGGCTTCCGAACAAGGCCAAGAGTAGCTGCATTTGTTTGGCCGTATTAGCTCAGAGCTCCTGGATACTGTGTGGGCACCAAAATGGAGGAAGGGATTTTTCCTTCCATTTCCTACTCTGATGCCCTCTCTCTACACATTAGTTAAAAACCTATAAAGATGCAGATCCTGCCACCCCACCCCACACCTGTTCAATTCTGGCGCTGGAAAGGGAAGAGGCTCAGAATCAGCAGTTAGCAAGCACCAGGTGCGACTTAGGCAGGGACCCGTTTGTGAATGTGTTTTCCATGCATACCTACCTGCTGTGCCAGCCCATGCATACCCCATGCCTTCTGTGCCTTCTATACCGTGGACATTGCTGAATCAACTGTGCTGGTTAGCACCCTCGCCTGTCAGAATCTCTGGATGAGCCTGTGACTCAGGAATCCTGGGTGAGGAAACAAAGCTGAACTGGGCCAGTCCCGTGGTGATTTTGGAAAGGTAGTCATAAGCCAGGAAAGTTTACAGGGAGGTAAAGAAGTTACCCTAGAACTGGTGAGGGCAGGCAGAGGACTGGAATTTGAAATCCTGATCATTAGATCCTGAGGAAAAACTCAGAGGATGTGGATTTCAGGGTTCCGTCTCCTGTAGGAAAGCTGCCCCACCCCAGCTAACTCAGTGCCCTGCTGACTCCCTGAAACCTGCCCCAGTGGTGGGGTGGTGGGAAGGTGAAGTAAAGCCATTGACAAGTTGTACTCTCTAGCATGGCCTGGAAGCTCTGCCTCTTGTTCATCACCATTGGAAGTTGTCGTTTGCAGACCCAGAGAGTTAACTATGTGTTACCTTCATTCGGTCATGTATCAAGACAAATGCTCTCCAAGAAAATAAATAACAGCTCACTCAGTGCTAAATCATAACGCTCTGAGTTTCAGTCTCCTCGGCTTCAAAATGAAGTAGGAAGACAAGGAGCCTGGGGGTGTTTAGGAGGAGGGGAAGCTGCAGGCCACCTGGATCCTGCCAAAATAGAATCTGCCTACAGCTTCTGGAGGGCAATGTGTGCCAGCTAGTCTGGGTTTTGATTGACGGGAGAATATTTTCTTGACTGGCAAATATTTGTGCTCCCAAGTTGGCAAGGCTTCACTGTCTGGTCTCCGCAGCCTATAAAAGAGCAAAGGGAAATGCTGCTGGAAAAGTCGTCACTCAGAGAAGCAGCAGGAACAGGAGTGCGGCCAAAGCCCAGGTATCGGGGTCCACCAGCCTCGGCATCCTTACTGGCAACGCTGCTACTTACCCCACTGGCTTGAGAACAGACGAGGTAGTGTGCACCCTACGGGTGCCCAGCGGTGGTGTCATGATGCCTCACACTCGCCCTGCAGGATTCAAAACGCCCAAAGCTCAGGAACAGCCCAGTGTCCATCATCAGATGCACTGAGGGCAAGTGGCTCACCCAGGCTGTGGGGTATATATATATGTATTTTTTTTCCCATGAAATCCTGGCACAGCTACCTCATGGATGAACTTCCAAAACATGCTGCTGCGTGAACGAAGCCAGACACAAAATGACACATATGGCAGACTCCATCCCGAAGAAGTGTCCAGAATCAATTGGCAAATCCACAGAAACAGAAAAATTAACAGTTGCCAGGGGAGGAAAGGAGGGAGGGAGGGAAGGAGGGAGGGAGGGAGGGAGGGAGGGAGATGAGCACTTGATGGTACCAGTTTTCTTTGGGGGGAGTGGCAGAAATGTCCTGGAATCAGCCGGGCCTGTAATCCCAGAGACTCAAGAGGCTGAGGCAGAGGATCGCAAGTTCAAAGCTACCCTCAGCAATTTAGAAAGACCCTGTTGTGGGGCTGGGGTTGTGGTTCAGCGGTAGAGCACGCAAGGCCCTGGGTTCCATCCTCAGTACCACTTACAAATAATAAATAAATAATAAAGTTTAAAAAATTGTTTTAAAAAAGTACACTTTTTTGTTTTCCTGGGTTCCCCCCCTTTTTTATATATATATTTTTTATTTTGGGTACTAAGGATTGAACCCAGGGGTGCTTTACCAGTGACCCACATCTGCAGCCCTTTATATATATTTTTTTTCTTTATTTATTTATTTTTTTTTTTTTTTAGGCACAGTCTCACTAAGTTACCCAGGCTGGCCTTGGACTTGTGATCTTCCCACCAGGCTCATACTTTCTGACTGGTAAGTCTGGGTGGGCCCAGGTACCCTGCATACTTTACCAGCTTCCAGGAGGTTTTTGCAACTGAGAACGCTGAAGTGAAGGGATTGGCTCCAATTCTGAGCCAGTTCTGAGCCAGTCCTAGGACCAAGGCAGTGGAGTGAGAGAGTCTTCCAGAAGCCCAGCCTCACCCAGGCCTCTCTGAGTGGTGATGTTACAATAAACAGACAAGAGGAAACCCAAATGGAATGGAGCACTGAGAGCCGGAAGTAGTGGAGATGGGATGCTACTAAAGATGGGTGGCCATGATTTCCTGCTCTGCAAAACACCTACCCTAGCTGGCCAGCATGTCCCCACGGCAAGGAGCCACAGGCATCAGTGTGAACTCACATCGGCCTTAACATGGATGGGCACGGGTGCATATAAAAATATTTTCGTTCCAGGCGTGGTGGTGCACTTGTAACCCCAGCCACTCAGAAGGCTGAGGCAGGAAGATTGTGAGCTCAAAGCCAGACTCGGCAACTTAGTGAGGCTCTAAGCAACTTTAGTAAGACCCTGTCTGTAAGTAAAATTTTAAAAAATGGGCTGAGGATGTGGCTCAGTGGTTGAGTGCCCCCTGGATTCAATCCCGGGTACCAAATAATAATAACAATAAAACTTTTTTTGTGTTTTACTTTTTTTTTTTTTTTTGAGACAGGGTCTTAATATGTTGCCCAGGCTGGTGGCTCAAGTGATTCTCCCACCTCTTCTCCTGAATAGCAGGATCTACCAGTGCAAGCCACCATGCCTGCCTGTCTTTCTTTCTTTCATAGAATTTTTTTTTAATATTTATTTTCTAGTTTTCGGCGGACACAACATCTTTGTTTGTATGTGGTGCTGAGGATCGAACCCGGGCCGCACGCATGCCAGGCGAGCGCGCTACTGCTTGAGCCACATCCCCAGCCCTTCTTTCTTTCATAGTACTAGGGATTAAACTCAGGGCCACTTGTCCACTGAGCCACTTGCCAGCCCTATTTTTTGTATTTTATTCAGAGACAGGGTCTCCCTGGTTTGCCAATCGCCTCCCTGTTGCTGAGACTGGCTTTGAACTTACGATCCTCCTGTCTCAGCCTCCCTGTGATTACAGGCATATGCCACAGTATCCAGCCTGGCTTACTTTATTTTTTAATTAACAATTAATAATTGTATATATGAATATATTTATAGGATTCAGTGTGTTTTTTTCCTTCCGTATTGAAAGTATTTTATTTTCTTCAGTATTGATGGTGCTTTGCCACTGAGTCACATCCCAGCCCTGTTTAAAAATCTTTTTATTATTTTGAGACCAAGATCTCACTAAGTTGCCCAGACCAGCCTTAAATTTGTGATCATCCTGCTTCAGCCCGCCAAGTAGCTGAGATTATAGGCAGGCGACCCTGAACAACAGGTGACATTTTGATACTTGCATGCATTGTGGAATGATCCAGTAAGGACAGTCAACATATACGTCACCTCAAATACGTCCTTCATTGTGATAAGACTATGTAAGGCCCAGTCTCTGGGCTGAGGGTGTAGTGCAGTGATAAGAGTATATGTTTAGCATGCACAAGACCCTAGGTTTGATGCCCAGCACCCCCCAAAATAAAACAAAACCCCTCTCTTGTAGGTACTTTGAATGCATACTACATGCTGTAACTGCTGTCACTCAGCTGTGCCTGGCCACCAGCACTCCTCTTCACCTACCAACGTCCCCTCCCCCAGTTGCTCCACACCCTCCGCCTCTGGAAACCACCGGCTTCTATGCGGTCGACTTGTGAGGACTCCAGACACAGGTGCGATCATTCGGAGGCCATCCCTCTGTGCCTGGCTTATTCCACTTAGCAACTTGTGAGGACTCCAGACACAGGTGCGATCATTCAGAGGCCACCCTCTGTGCCTGGCTTATTCCACTTAGCATGATGTTCATACATGTTGCTGCGAATGACAGAATTTTCTGCTTTTTTAGGCTGAATAATATTCCACTGTATATGAATACCACATTTTAAGAATATCCATTCATCCATCGATGAACACTTTCGTTGATTCCGTGTCTTTTCTCTTCTGCATGGTGCTACAGTGAGCGTGGAGTGCAGATATTTCTCCTGTACAGGTTTCATTCCCTTGGATTTGTGCCCAGAAGCGGGACTGCTGTACCTAGGAATATGTCAACACACGGGTTCCAACACCTTACATGTACCGTTAGTGTGCCTCTCCTTCCTCTAGCCACCAGGGGGCCACGCAGCAGCACCGCCCAGCAGAAGAGCACACCCAACACCCAGATGTTGGTTTCTAACACCACCTCCAAGTCAAGCAGCCAGAGCTCCTTTGAGAAAGAAGAACTGACCAATTCTAGGGTTGTCAGGGAATACACCAAAAGAACATAGAGATCTTACAGC